TGAACTAATGACAACAATCCGAAACAGCTGTAAAACACTGGGATTCCACATGAGGTTAACGAGGGGGCGTGGCACACATTAGGATCGGACGGAGCGGGGTGTGACACTAAACGTATTCTCTTTTAATCACACTATAAAATATACTATAAAGTGTATCTGAAGTATCCCTAATGTGTAGCCCAAAGTGTGTAAAGTGTTTGGGGAAATTTTTAGAGAATGCATCCTTTGTCTTGTTAGCTGAAATCCAGGCGTACCACTGGTCAAGTCTGCGGGCCACAAAATTTACACTTGTTTATTTTCCACTGGGAAAGGGGAGATTCAAGCCTAAGGTGTCTGCTTCACCGAAATGAGCACACAGAGTTAGTCAGTTGATAGGTGCATGACAGAAAAGGTCTTGGAAAATGAAATGTGACGACCCAGCATGAAACATGCGTGTAAGTCACTTCTCAGAAATTTGACCTTTTTCTGTTTGTTAAAATGGGGGAGGAGGGAGGGGTTTGGATGGAATATACATAGTAAATTGTGAGATAACAACCCAAGTGACAGAAGACACCCCCAGAAGGCATATCAGGTTAAAGGTACGATCATTGAACAAAATGTGACTGTTTGTGTGTTTGTGCTCTTGAGTCTAACTGGGAATGACACCTGTTCACCAATGGCCTTCCTGGGATCTGAAAGTATAAAAATATTAGTGGTAGCACTTATGACACTATAATTTTTTGAGAATCTGTATTTTTTTTTCAGGCTTGATTTTTGCTCTGAAGAGTCAGAGACAAGTCACTCAGAAAAATTGGGTCAGGTTTTATTTGATTAAATGATTGATCTTTCTTCATATAAGTTGTGTGTTATGATGTATTTTGTATATTTATGTGCATTGTATATTGATCTTGTTTTTAAATCTAATTATCTAATTATGTGGTATAATTTAATTTTGGAATTTTATTGATGCTAAATTGTTAACCTGTTATGCTTATATGTCTTTATAAATTAATATAGAGCTGTTTTTTTTTTTTGGTAAATCACATAAAGCCCAACTTAAGCCAAATTAAATATATTTTAATAATTTGTAGTTCAAGTTCAAAGTTAAGGAAGAATGCACAGTAGGGTGTACAAAAACATATAAGTAAGAAGACAAGACCATGCAGGATTTTTTTAAATGAGGAATGATGCTGAACTATCAGCACCGTTGGTGAGTTGTACTGATTAAGCCATAATTTTTGCTTGAAATTTGGAAGCAGGTCAAAAGATTGATTTCATTTTATGAATGTTTGTCCATTTTATAGAAGTCTCATTCCTCATGCTGTGGTTGAATCAGTTGCCACGTGATCCATTTTACAATATCCTAATTATTTATATAACGAACGATACAGGAACCGGATATAAATTATGTATGTATGATTTCACTTGTGAATTTCATAATGTAATTATGAATTTTCTGTCTACTAGATAGACCTGTTTTTTGTTGTCCAGTTTTTGGGAGTTATAAAATGCGATTTTTCCTTCTTCAGATATTATCCCATTTTAGGCTGCGTTAAGTACTCTGCACCGCTAGAGGGCATGCGATAATTAGAGAATAACTACGTTAAATAAAAATCTTATTTTGATAGGGCTCAACCAGGAAACATCGGAAATATAAGAATATATGCAGGTATAACGGTGGCGGAAACTGCGGACGCTTAATGTCTTTTGCTGAGGATGTTGAAATGTGGGGCCACGGTATTGTTATTGTTCCAAGAAGCCGCATTTGTGTCACGTAATGTGTGTTAGTGAGTCAGAGAGAGTGCAAACCCCAGGGGGCTTCTGCCAGGGTGAGGTGACAGCCCCCGAAACCCACAGGGGGTGCATCTGTAGCAAAGTGCCTGCTCATGGCTGAGTCGCTGTTCCTTAGTTTACCTTTCAGCAGCGCAGTACAGGAAGCCTGTAAAACGATGCGCTGCCAAATAGTTCTAAATCTTTTGCAAGCTTTTAAATGTGGCTTTGAGTCTTTCCTAATATTGCCAATTATGTGTATATTATAAGAATCCATGCACTGTATGTATTTGCATCCTGCCGCCCGGAAAGCGTATTTCTGCATGTTTTGTGCATGTAAGCACTTTCCAGGGGCGCTGGCTGTAAGGTGCGTGCGGGCAGATTGACGCTGTCTGTCAGGACGCGGTCTTGACGGTGCCGTGAGTCGGAGCAGGTCTGGAGCTCTCAATCGCGCCCAGTGGGAGATGAGTGCTGGTCTCCCGGGGATGCCTCCGCCAGCTGGCTCCTCGCCGATGAGCCACGCCCCGGCTGTCTGTAGCGGCAGCGATCGCACTGCGCGCGCGTGTGTGTGTGTGTGTGTGTGTGTGTGTGTGCCAGAGTACAAGAAACCAAAGGCCCAGGATAAATGCTTTATCAGGTTTCAATTTCTTCTTCCCCTCAGTGCGTTGTATTATTTATAGCTATTTTGCGTTGTACAAATTAAGGCTGTGTTGTGTAAAATACTGCTGAAGTACAACAGTAAAGTACTTACTGAGGATCCTACTCGTGAGCATACTCTCCTTAATTACCTAAAGTATGTGCGTTTTTACTGTGATTGCCATGACGCGGCAGTGCGAACAGACCACCTCTGCAGGACTGTGGGTAACATGCCAGTTACCTGGCGCTACGATGCGGAAGTTCAGCAGAATTCAGCGTGGATTTTCCGCTGGATGTTATATGACTAACACTGGGCAGCCCAAAGATGTTTGTGTCGTAAATGTTAGTTTTGTTCTCTACAAAAAAATGGTAAAATATTTTTACCTTTGCTTGTCACTGGGGCTGTACCCTCAAGGGTCTGTCAATTGTACCCTTAGCTGTAGGTAACTGTACCTTTTAAGGGACAGAAACAGACTCTGTGGAACATTTCTACACCATTGATGGTACATTAATGCTGTTTGTACCTTTGGGAGGCTTGTTGGAGTCCATTTCTGTACCTTAAAAGGCACAAATACAAGGATACAGCTTCAGTGACAAGCAAAGGTACACATTTTTACCTTTTTTCTGAGAGTGTATTCATACATAATTGAATATATCTGAAAGTGTTATACTTAAAAAGTTGCCTTTTAATGTTGTCAGAAATTTAATAGGCGAAGTATTAAAAGATGTATTAAAAATTGTTAAAAAAAAACTAATCTGTTTTTTTTATAAATCACATAAAGCCTCAATTAAGCTAATACAAGTTAATACAAACGCGTCTCTAAAAAATCTATGATATTCCCTGACTTTTTCTGTAGGAGGATCAGATAATCACGATTGTACTTTGGATTCATTCCCCACACCAGTATCCAGTGGTTTAGGTGAGTTTGTCTGTCTCCCTCTTAGTCGCTATCCCACTGTCATCTGTGGGCATATGGACAATCTTGCTGTTCTCTGACCTGCAGTATCATGAACTCCCTGGTCATTGTGCTGTTCCTCTCCAGCACGGCGGCCGCGATCACGCAGGGGACGCTGCTCATAGACATCGCCCGCTACTGCCAGATGGACTCTGTCGTGAGCGATTGCTTTTACATAAACTTTACATAAAAGAGCACCGAGTGACAAGGTCTTCCTTCCTTTCTGTAATAAATGTACTGACAGAATGCTTTTAAAATACAGCATGCAGGTGGGTATGGTGGATGATCTGCTCCCACGTTGCGGGCGTGCTCTGTGGTGGTGTGCTGACAGGCTGAGTGTGTTGTTTCTGTTGGCATGGAGCAGGTGGAAAGGTCAGGTTCATATTCGGCATCCAAGGATTTAATAAGCGTGGCTGTAACAACTGTTTTGGGTGGCTGGTTAGACGGGTTGATTTTACTTTAGTATCTGTGTATGGCAAACAAGGGCCGCTTGCTTAATTCTGGGCGTTTTACGGCACCTTCGTATTTTAACGCTACTTTGCTCTGTCACCCATAACAGAAGGGGTTTTCGGGTCACCCAGTGCTACACGCATGTTAAAAATTGCGTGTTAGCCTGCTTTATTACTCAGAGAGGTGATTAATTGTTTCAGCAGCTCTCGCACGCTAGACAGACTGACGGTTGGAGTTATCATAGTGATCAGCTGAACTATTGACCCCAGTACAAGCTGTTTGAAGCATATTAACTGTAATTGGTGCGCCGGTTATGTTGCTCTTTCATGATCCTTTGTGCCATTCTTCCAAGAGGATGCCCAGGAGGAATTTGGGTTGAAGCTGGAGTACGGAGATGTCTTTCAGCCAGCGAGGATGGGAACGCTCCTTTCGGTCTTTCCGGGGTCTGGAACACAGATCTTCATCAGCGTGAACCCAGCATCTCATGATCCAGAAGATGATATTTACACGGGGTCCTGTAAGGGGACTTTCTAGCTACTAAAAGACCAGGGGCTTGACTTCATATTTTTTAAGGAAACTTGGCATCAGGGACACAATACTGATGGATAAGCTTAAAATACTCAGGGCTCCTATAGCCCTGAGTGATCAGACCTAATGACACTCACAGGACCTGCAGATTTGTATCCAGTAATCGGTTAGCAAACTGCTCTGCAAATCATATGTGCCGAGTAGTATTAGCAAACAGTAAAAAACTGGAGACTGGAGTAATAATAACAAATACCCACCCTACAGTGTTCATCTTATAAGATCTGCCTGGAATAGACTGCTTTTATAGAAAATAAAGATAATGAATTTTGTATTATGCGATATGAAAGCAGTGTCGTTGTATGACTAAGTGGTAGACTACAGAGCAGTGTCTTGCCATGTGGATCGAAGCAGTGATTGAAAAATGTAGCTCAGAATTCATAACCAAACTGGAACTTGGTGTTTTCTAAACTTACATTTCACCAATGATTATTCATTTCTGAATGTAGTGTTCCTCATGAATTTTGCATAGGTGAATGGAAGGTCAAGTGTTTACTCAAAAAAGGATATATATATATATATAATTATATAGATATAATTATATATATATATAATTACCATCCATCCATTTTCCATACCCACTTTTCTGTATATATGTATTTGTGTATACACTGTGTGCAGAATTATTAGGTAAGCATTATTCTTGGAGATGATTTTAAACAAAACTTAGGCAAACTTATATGGGTGAATTCAGAAGTTTTCCTTTGCTCCAAGTAAATTTATTTAGAGATGAAATGTTACATTAGTCTGTCACAAACAGAAATAAAACACGTGATTATCGGTGTACAAATTTATTAGGCAATCAGAAACTAAGATTTTTTTCTCTTCACCATCGACATAAATAAAAAAAAGTTTTACTTATTCAGTCTATAAAAGGAATAACAAACGTCAGTCATCCTACACAGTCCACTTTTAATGTTATGTATAGGCCTCTTCTCAGTGATCATCATGAGCCTGTTATCCATTGAACAATTGTAGTTTTTGATTTGATTATGTCCTATGTTAGTTGAGGCAGCTAGGAGCCCCTCCCAGACGCTCTCCTGACTTGCCACCTTGGTATATCTCATGAGGCCCAGTACTTCTCAATGGGGGTTGATGTGTCCTTCAAGAGGAGATGTGTCCCTCAAGAGGAGATGTGTCCGTGTCTGTTGTTAATGTTTTAGCTTGTGTGTTATTGAGTGCAGGTTGTGTTTCAACCTTTGTGTCCTTAGTAATGTTACACAGCACACCGCACCTAGTACTTCCAGGGACAGCATTCAGATTGCAGTATTGAAAAATAGTGGACATTTGATGCTAAATAATTTATGGAAGTCTCTACCTTAATTTGACAGAAATCTGGCAGTTAATTTGTGTCTCTCTATATGCTTCTAACATCTTATTTGGCTGTTGGCTACAAAACAGTTGATTGTATAGTGATCACGTTTGGCTGTTGGCTACAAAATTGATTGTATAGTGATCACGTTTGGTTGTTGGCTACAAAACAACTGATTGTATAGTGATCACGTTTTAAAAGTTTGGCTGTTGTGATTGTTTTGCATCCTTGGCACTTTAGTATTTAATTTTTTCTCGCTCTCCTGTTTTGGACAGTTTTAATAGTAATAATAACTTTTGCAAAAGTATCTATGGTTTCCTGTTTTAGTCCAAACAGAAAGTACTCAGACCAAATACTGTGCATGCTCTATTTTAAACAGTCCATTCTTAGTTGGAGATTAATTTGGCCTGAACTATTGGTCGGAAGAGAAGACACAACCAAAAGACACAGTTGCTTAATAATTCTGCACGGGTGAATATCTATGTCTGTTTATACATCTATTAGATGTGGAATTGTATAGCAGTTATTTAGGCCGTTCTAAAGTACGCAGTAATATGTAATGTCTGTTATGCATTATATGCTTCACTTACACATTGCTTTGGACCAAAGCAAAATGAATATATGGAAACATAAATATAATCCATAACAGTCATTAAATTGCTCTCCCCACATACTGCATTCAATATTTTAGCATTTGATTATTCTTTATTCGCTATTTTAAGTATTCTTACTGATAACTGATTTTAAGCTTTACAAGTTTAAATTATGATTTGGCTGAAACAATTTGTCTATAAATTGAAGTAGGTTGATATTTCAAGGACTGTGTCGTCCTTGTAAAATTCTAAAAGAAAAAAAGTTTAACAATGTTCTGCAGTGAGTTTTTTTTCCAGAATAGATTTCCACATCTTTGTCAGCAAATCTAATGTGGTTTAATGTGATGCTAGACATGTGAATATGTACATGCTTCTTGAAGCAGAGCCATTAACACCCACTAATGGGGGGAAATAGATAATATTGGTAGGATTAATAGCTATAATTTGAGAGATTAAAAGTGTGCTAAAGGGCTTGGCAGCATGTGGAACTCCTTGTCTTTTTGTTTTGACAGCTACCGACTCAGAGTTCTGAGTATGTTTTTGAGTATATGATGGTGTGATGCCTTCCGTCCTGATGTGACGATCGATGCATGTTTGCCTGTGTGTTTGACAGTCTTCGCCCGCCTCATTTCCCTGTCCCCAGCCAAACGCGGGGGCCCTTGTGACGTCTGCTGTGGGGCCGTGGAGACTCCAGCGGCTTATGTGGCCGCCAGATTCTACAAGTGTAAGAGGCGGAGATGCGTCCTGACGGGGGAACCTGCTCATTAGGTCACATCAGCGTCAGCGCATGACAACCTGGACGAGCTGAGGCTCCTCGGGCCTGTGGCCCGCTCCTGTCCAGCTTGACTGTCTGAGCACCAGTGATATCTATTTCAGTCCACCCACAGATCTGACAGCCAGCACGGTGACTCTGGAGAATGAATAATTCAGCAATTAGTTGTCTTCCCACCACACTCATATGTTTTCCCATTCTCTGGTGTCCACAACATTTAGCATCCAAGTGTGGAGCTAGGAGCCATTTTGATTTTCACTTACGCGTGGCGCTTTGATTAATTTTACAGCATTTTTGAGGAGTTCTTTCCCACATTTCACCCCACAACATTTTCCGACATTTTTAGCTGTTCAAGGCCAGTGTTTTACAGTAGACTGTGAAACATCATGTGTTCCTTTGATTTATACTGAATTCATGTACAAAGAAATTCCATAGATTTCTTTTATATTGTGAGGATAACAACTGAAGATTTCTTTCTCATACCCAATTGAGGTTGAATATCTTCCCTCTTCTTTTGTGGTATGAATTGCTACTTTTTTGCTGGAATGAAAACCACTTAAAAGAATGAATTGGAGAACAAGAGTAAACCCAAATACCAGTGTCACAGCATCAGAGTAGGATATAGCCAGGATATGGCAGAATACAGGTAGGGAGGACTGAGGACTCTGTTCTGTTAGCCAGACTGTGGCTACTGATACAACTACATACATTCAGAAAAACCAGGCTTCAGATGAACGTGTCACATAGAAGTTCCCAGTACAGTAAATAAAATTATATCACATTGTTTTTATACTTTGTGTGTTCCTATACTTGCATTGATCAAAATGATACTTTCTATAGTTTCAGCCCCTGAAGTGTGATATTTTACATGCTTTATATCAGGATTTTGTGTTTCTAAGGTTCACTGATATGTGTTCTGGTAAAACAATATACCTGGTTGAAACGCCGCATCTTAAGCACGTCTAACGTTTCCTGGAGGGCAAAATTGTAAGAGGTGGACCTGCCATTTTTTTTCTTTAAACCTTTTCCTCTTAAACAGCCTTTGCTGGTGAAAAATGTAAAAGGAACGTCTTGCTGAGAGCTTTACTATGGCCTGTGTGAGTATTTACATCAAATAGTGGTGACGTAGCCCTTCATTCACTGACCAGCTCAGTGATTTTTGTGCGCCTTATGGATTTAAATTGAAATATAGCTAATACCAGTCGAAAATATATTCTTTATAAACCTTTAAAAAATCATTTATATATATAATTAAATATAACGGCAAAAATATGGATATATATACTTTTTTGACATTAACTTAAGTTTAGCTTCCACCAAAGTCTACACTGGGGCTCACTAACTCTCAGCTTTGTGACATTAAAGAAACTTGTGAATTTTCTCTTCGCATTAACATTTCTACTCCTTTAACAAGTCATGTGACCACGTGTAATTTCGTACGTAGTTTTGCACATCGTTTGATGGGTGGCTCCCTCTGTACCGCGGTATAAACTGGTATTTCATGTAGCCTAGATGGAAGTACGCCCCTACTGACGGAGACTAGCAGCTAGAACAGCAGCTGTTTTGTCCTGGGAGTCTTCTGTGTAAGTCCAACCCCAAACTAATCCTGCTTAATTCCAGATGTCTGGCACATGCACATGGCAGGGTTTTAGGCCTGTTGATAGATGCTTTGAGTGTGTACGTGTTAATCATCCAATTTTAAAACCAAAACATAAGACTTATTTGATTTGCCTATTAGAAATCCAAATCTGTAGCACAGCATGAGATGAACAAGAAGAAATCAAAACAGTAAATAATACGAGTCCTGTGTGTTTGTCCTGATTGTGTTTTATCATTCTCATGTTTGGCTGAGCTCACACACTGGCTGCATTTTTTGCTTTATTATTTCATACCTCCTTCAGGATAACGTTTCTTCACTTCATTGCGATTAGCGTAATCCTGTGGGAAAACAGCCCTTCTGCTGACATATCCTTCAGGATGCTGGTGACCATCCTGGACCTGTGGTTCTGCGTCTCTGTGCCCCTCACATTCCTCGGAGCCCGTTTCGGCTGTGAGAAGCCCTTGAGTCGCCAAAATTCTGAAAAAGGCCCAGGAGGGCGAGCATCCTTCGAGACAAACATCCGTCCAGGCGAGCATCCTTCTAGACGAACATCCGTCCAGGCGAGCATCCTACCAGGCGAACATCCGTCCAGGCGAGCATCCTTCCAGACGAACATCCGTCCAGGCGAGCATCCTTCCAGACGAACATCCGTCCAGGCGAGCATCCTTCCAGACGA